ATTATTATTACTCTTTGTGAATGTCTGTACTTTTCATTTCTCAACTGTCAATAGCAACTTTGATTTGTGATGATNTTGTACAACTGTCAATTGTGTGATTGTAAGTGCGAGTGTGAAATAAAATTCGCTACATCGAATACCTCGTGAATTTATTTGTCGCGATATACCCCGCGATACGCGACAATATTATTATTACTATTTTTTTTGTTTAATTATATGCATTAATTTGTTTTCCTCCAATATTTACCTTCAATTATTCTTTGACTTAATGTTGTGTTTGTCCAGTATATAACTACTTCCATCTACACTGTGCTGAGTCGCTAATTGGCCTTGCAGCTGTTAGCTGAGCGCATAAATAATAAATAACTTAATTATCATTATTTTTATTATTATTACGTTTGTAACAGGGGATTTATATATGCACTAAATGGACATCATCATGGTCAGTGATATGTACAGAATTACAAAGAATGTGTTTGGAAATTATGCATGTTCATGAATTAAATAAGCACTGACCTGTTTCAGCTGTGGGCTATAAAATTTGGTAGAAGTATAGGTCATAACATACTTTCACAATACTTGTGATGTTCCCTTTGTGTTATGAGTTTCAGATATAGCAGTAGGTCAACACTTTGAAGTTACATGTGGTAACTTCTGTTAGAGGTAATCTAACAAGGGAAAATTATGAATAGAAATTCTATCACTAGCTAAGTTTTATAATTGTCAGTTTATAATTTTAATTACACTATGTATATATATTTAGGCATTGTTATGTGAGGTCTGCTTATTTTTAGCATACTTCCTTATTTTGAAAAACTGAAATTAGGCTTATGTTATCTCCGTGGTATCTATGAGTCTGCGAATCCCTCCTTGTTACCTTTTGAATGCCTGAACGAGTGCTTATGAAACTTGGCGTGTAGATCATTACACCTGAGCCCATGTTAATGGCATAATTCATAAAACCCTCCTATCAGGCTGTGTGTCCGTATGTGTATCCCTTCTATTGTTCCTGGGCAAAGACTTGGTAAAGGTTATCACCACTGTTGCCAGGTAACAACTCGGTAAAAGGTAAAAGCATTCCCATGGCAACAAAGAATTGTTGGTGGCATCATTTTCTACATGTCCATGCCATATCAAATGAAAGTAGGTGATTAGTTCTTCCCAGAACTTCTTGTTATTTATGTGGTCTAAACAGGAAAGGTTGTCTGAGGTCAATACATATTTATACTTGTTTCCATCTGCTGCTACCACTGGAAGACTTTTTACTTCACATGCTGGTGTACTTTTAACATTGGTTCAAAAAAAAAAATAATTTCCTGGATGAAACAATTCAGAGGAAAATAACTGCACCACAGACGTAAATAAATTCATGCTGCTCTGTTAGTACACTCTTGTAAAAGGGCAAAGGATCAACCCAGTAATTCTGTGTCTTATAGTTTTTGGTTAGACTAATCTTGCAGAAAGCAGTCATTTATAGGATATTAAATGTAATACAAGCCTGTGAAAGTTTAAAGGTTTTTACACAGCATGACGAAAGAACTGATAGATGTGCAGGCATATTTTAGCTTCACTATGTAGCCTTTGCCAGCACAGTTGCTCATTTTACCTTTATCCTCCTCCCCTCCCCTCCCCCCTCCCTGATTGAGTTGAATTTGGTGGTTGGCATGTGGAAAATGTAATGAGCATGGAATCATTATACTGGGTAATCTGCTCAGCAATGAACTTAACGAACGTTTTAAATTCACATTTTCCTTTATATCCTTTTACTGTTGTTGCAAAGCTTTGGGCTATGTTAGAATGTAAGTTTAACTCAGTAATTTAAATGCAATACCAGAAAATGCATGTTACATACATCCTGGCTGTATGGTGTTAGCTTCAGTCTTCATGGAATTGTCTTCAAGAATGTGCTACCATCCTTAAAATTCATAGGTCTGAGGGTGAGTGTATGAGGCCAAATCAAAATGTATTGACTGAGTCCATGAAAACTAAGATACTCTGCTTACAGTACAGGAGAGTAACCATTTGAAGTCTGAAGTTCAGGTAACAATACTTAAAATTCACTTCCTACCTTAAATACTTAAAATTCACTTCCTACCTTACAGAAAACACATTGTTTCTCTGATATAAAGACCAGTTGATTGATGCTGTTTAGGGATATAATCAATATATATTCTGAGAATCATATTAAGCACGTAAATATACTGTGTGAGCAGAGTTAATGTTAAAGCAGGTGGTGCAAATAGTAATGACTAAAAGTCTCATCCCCCTTAATGTTGGCTCTTACAGTGTATACACACTTGCTCTGTACTTCCTGCCAATTCTGGAAGCACATATTGGACTTTGTCTTCAGAATCATCAACAGCTGCTCTGTTAATTGTGTTCACTTGTTTCTACAACATCAAGTACTTTGCCATTCAAGGCTTTTTGTGTTTAGTAAACAGCAGGAAGTCACTGGGAGCCATATCTAGTAAAGAGAATGGCTATTTCATGTATGGAATACTGAGTTTAACTAAAAATTACTGTGACCGAGTGGGCAGGTACATTATCATGATAATTTGCCACTTGTCAGATTCCCACTTTTATGACCATAAATATAAATGTTAGTTAATAAACTAGCCTTTTGTACCATACTCTAGTGTACCAACACCATAACCAAGAAATAATCAAAACTGAAAACTCATATAATTGTTTTCTGGGTTATGATGCCCTGTATTTTGATGCATGTGTATCACTGTTTCACACTTCTATCAACATGATGGAATCAGTATGTTTCTATGAGATGTCAATACCCACAAACCAGATTACATGGCATCATATCTGAAGAGACCATAATATGAATTAACACTATATAGTAGTTCTTATACTAACAGCATCATTAAATAATAATCATGATATGAAGCATCATTTTGGTTTGCCTCCTGCTCCTGTGTCATAGTCATGAAATGCTGACTGAGGCACACCTCTGTCCTAAGTCTGTGGCTAAAAGGACCCAACATGAGCCGTAAAATACTGTTACCACCTTGCCTATTTCAGAAATAGTGTTTTGTAATCTCTAACCAAAGAATACAATGAGCTACTAATTCACTTGTACCGGTTCTGGAGTGTAAGGATGCTTGTCACTTTTGACAGACATTTGTCTCTCTCTAAAGTAGTTGAACTACCATTCTTTGGCTCACTGTTACATCTCCAAATGCAATTTGCATCAATCAGTTATAAATCTGATCAGTGTAGAGTTTTGGTCATATATAATTCCACAAGAAGAAATTAAAAAATAGAACTTCCAAACTATACTGATTATCTTTCCATTCTTCTTGGCATGAATTATTTATTTTTAGACTCTGTTAAATTGACATGTTACAAGAAGACTGACTTTGATGGCAACTGTGAACTACTGAATCAATGGCATGACCTGTAAACAGGCACTGAAATGCAATAACATGTCAGGATACATTTCTTGCTGTTGAATTCCAGTTCCCGGTCTCTATACTTGTGGCCAGATCTCATAAAAAATATCATGATGAGTCAAAATGTTACCCAATTAATCAAGTAGAACAAATTAAATCACATAAATATGTAACAATTTTCATTAATTAATAGAAGAGCAGCCCATGAATAAGCATGACTACAAACATAGTTTCTGCTAAAAGGACTGAGATTCAGTGTCTCGGTCACCACACACAACCGCAAACATGTTGTGTGAAATCACTTAAATACACAATTCTTTACAAATTATAAATCACTCTGTCCAATGTGACCTGTAAGTTTTTTACCACGCAAAAACTTAACACCCTTTAAAGCGGAAGCGCCGCTGACTGGAGTGGCCGAAAGCTGTCCGAGGGCACCTTGGGCCAGCAGCCTGCCGGGACGCCGGGGACGTGGCGAGAGCCACGGCACGCCGGCTTCGTGATTTATAATTTGTAATTGTTATTGTGACGGACCAGAATGAAACAAATCATACACAATTCTTTCTTCAGACATTAAAGCTTTTGAGCCTAATGCTATGGTCTATCCCACAGTGAGAACAGACTGTGCTCATAGAGGAACTGCACTGCAGTGTGCAGTGGAATACTGAACAAACCAATGAATAAATACTTTACTGAGTCTCTGATTGCACACTGGGATACTTCATCTTGACTTCTGGGGCCTATGCATTGGCATCCCACTTAAATTACTCTTCCTACAATACATCATTTATATGTTATACTTTACTATACCCTATTGCTATCCCTATGGAACAAAACCAATTCAGTATAGCAATTTAAATAAAATAAAAAACTGAAATAAGATACTAAAATTATTTCATATAAAATAGTAAACAAATTACAGAAAAGGTACAAAAAATTATGCATCTCAACATAGGTTTGAATTTCTTTTGAAGGGGAGGTTGTACTAGATTGGAAATTCATATTGTAATGGTTGCTGGATGATTCATTAATAACAACCCAGAAAATAAAAAATAAATAAATACAGAAAAATGAACTAAAACAAAATAAATGCATCCGAAAGACATATCAGGCAGTACAGAAACCAGAAAAAATAAGTAAAGTTCTACACACATCACCAATAACAGGACATTTCTCTGAATGGAACACTGCCCCAAATGAAAACAGTTAACAAAAGAAAGACAACAAAATGAATAAAATTATATAAAACTCCACAGGGTCTTCTTGTCCCAGCATCACTCTTAAAGTGTTCAGCCAATATACAATCTCATTTTGAAACAGGCCTCTGTAAACAATCTGTCAACATGTTTGAAGATTAAATTTTACAAGCAATTACATAATCACATATAGAATTTATTAGAGAGACATCCTTTCTCTGCAGACTGGAGCTCTTGAAATGTAAAAGCTTCAGCAGTTTCACTTATAATCCAACTTATATTTTCTCTGGACTTTTACTTTTAAAATAATTAAACATTCAGAATAATTTGTCATTCTTTGCTTGTAAGCACTCATCCAACTGTACACTTCACAGAATCAACATTTGCCTTTTCTCAACAGCACACCCTTTATTCACTGCAGCAAACAGAAAAACTGAAGCTGTTAACGGTCTCTTAGAACATACTAGACTGACTGCATGATAAGACATGGCAGCAAGAGGATTACTGAAGATTATGACCTGGAATGTGACGCCATGTTATTTGGTAGACAGGAACTAGTTTACCAAACTGTATGGCTTCACATCCACCAAGAGAACATCAAATCTGACAAAAGGAGGACTATTACATACGAGCAGTGGTAATGTAACAGAAGGACCATTATTATTTGAGCAAAGTTCACAACTTCTTCGATGAAATGCTTTTGTTACTGTCATAAAATTACAGACCAGAAGAAGACAGAAACAAACTTTGTACAGGTGATGCAACTAGAAGTAAAAGCCCATAAGACAATATGCTTTGTTCTTAATTCTGGCTGTGCCACAGAATTGGAAACAGAGAAATATTTGGAGAGCATGGGGATTCTGAATTAAATGTGGGGGGAAGAATATGGGATACTCTACAAACTTATCAATTGACTTGTTTCAGAGGGAGGTTTTTGATTAAGCTTAATGGAAATTGTTAACATAGATTCAAGGAAAAGATATATTTTTTGTCCAGCTGTAAACTGATTACTTCGCATATTGTTAAATGATTTTCAATCATATGCTATCAAGTGATAAGATTAGGAGGATACTGGGAGGTGAATTCATCCTGCAAATGAAAACCTAGGCTTCAGAAATTATGAATGGTATCTTTGTTATAGATTACGCACAATGTAATGGAATGTGTACTTTGACAGTTTACTTAAGTATATTGATATAAAGCTACAGTGGAACTTCTCTCAAAGAACACAGATTGTATTTGTGTGGCATGGATTGTGTTTTAGGCCATACTAAAGTAATGCTACACCTTATTCAGAGACCACTCTTATTCCCGACGAGTGACCATGCCTGGTCATTATTAAACCCCCTTTAAAAGGACACCACAGGCACACTAGACAGCATGAAGACAACATATGATTTGTTAAGAAATGATTTAACACCTTTATTTAACAAGTTTCAGGATAAAGTTAAGAACAAAGTTGTAAAAAGAAAAGTAAAACTGTAATCTAAATTACAGTAGATTCATTTTTAAAGCCAGCATACCACTGGTATATGGGGCACGTGGTAGTGTAGTTGGTTGAGGCACTATGCTACAAGCCGGAAGGTTGCGGGTTCAAGTCCTGATGAGTTCATTGGATTTTTTTCAGTTGACCTAATCCTTCCAGCTGCACCAGGCCCTGAGGTTTACTCAGCCTCTAACAGAAATGAATACCAGGAATTAATGAAATAATTTTCCTGGGGAGTAAAGCGCGGCCGGCGCGTAAGGCTGACAACCTTACCGCCATCTTTGAGCCGATTGTCTAGATAATGTGGGAGCCTCAACGTCTCACAACCCTATGGGCCTTCACAGCCTGGTACAGGGATAGTTCTACTTACTTTTACTTATACCACTGGTATGTATATAATACATATCTACATATGTACATGTCTGTGTATGTTTTAATTTCAAATATTAACACTTAATTGAAGTTACCTACTACAGCTGCTATTCATGTAAAGTAATATTAAGGGCAATAAATTTGTGCAGTACAGTTCTCATGTCAAATATGTGTGGAGTATTAACTGTACTATACTACCAGAATTGTGACCCACCCCCCACCAATCCATCCCCTATCCAGAGACCATCCTTATAAAATACCTCTTACGGGTGGAACACTCGATGCTTAGAGAAGTTTCACTGTATATCATTTGGAAATTAAATAACATCAGAAATATAAAGAAAATGCAACTACCTACCGAAAACAGACATTCTGACTTATATGCACATTCCATTGTTGTTACATTGTTACATTATTAAATCCTTGAAAGATGTACTGAGTTTATATATACTTGGGAATATATACTTTGCCAAATTTCAGTCCTTAGTATGTTATGGTTTGATTTTTCGCAGTGGAGAAAGCAAAAATAGCAAAGTGCTGAAAATACAAAAAAGGATACTTCACTTAATGAAAGGTGTAAATATCAGAACATTGTGCAGACCTATTTTTAAAGAATTGACTGGTACTACTTTGTATATCTTTGAGGTGGTGTGCTATTTTCAGAAATATAATTTATACTCTACAAGAAATTCATATTTATATGAATATAATACTAGAAGAAAAGATGATTTTCATGTGCCAAATTGTAACACATCAACTTTCAAGAAGAGTGCTATCAATATGGGTATTAACTTGTATAATATACTGCCTTTGGAAGGATGTAAAGAGTTTCAACATGGGCTGAAAGTGTTTTTACTAGATCATCCATTCTATGCATTGTATGAGTTTCTCTAAGAGGGATAGTAATAAGCATAACAAAACCTCTATTCAATAATGGAAATGGATAACAAATGGCTGCTTGCAGTATCTTAATGTGTTCAGTGATTGACATGGTCATATGTAGGACTCTTGATTTACTGTAATACTCCTGAGATTTTCTCAATAAAGTCATAAGGTTGGCTTGCATTTCGATTTACATATTGTATCTAATTTGACTGTTTTATCTGGCTTGATAATTTTAATTATAGGTTAACCATGTAAAGCATGATTTTATATTGCTGACAAATTCTAATCCTTTAGGCATTTGGGCAAAAGGATTTCAAGCATGATGTATTTAATGATGTGACTTGTTTGAGTGTTACTGTTGTAGCAATTATGAATGCCAAATAAATATAAAATGAAAAGATATGTCATGCCTGGAAATGTTACTGAAAATCATTTTCTGCCACAGATTATTCAGGCAGTTCAGCAGAAGAGAGATAAGCTCCCCACAACAACTCTTGTTTGGAAATGCAGCACAATCAACAAGCTCATAGCCCAAGAAATTATAAACCAAACCCTCACACATCACAGCAGATGCTAGAAATGGTCTCTTTTGTTATGCGGACATTCCTTGCACCGCTTTAAAATGTTCATGTCCACGTAATGAAGTTCCTCTGCTTCTGAACAGAAAATAATCTTCAAACTTGAAACTTTAAAACTTCTGCTCCTGCACTAGACATCTGACAGATTTTTAAGGGCATCAACAGTCATATAATACATAAGCTCACTTCATAACAGCTGTTCAAAGATTTATTCGGGTGACATGGAAGGGAAGCCATATGTATATAAGCTATAGGCTTAACTACATTACAAGATTAAATGCGTGCTGTATAAACACATGTAGCGTGCCCCTCCAGCTAAATGAGTTCAATGATCTGCAGCAAGCTCTCAGATAATCTCCCTGTATAAAACAAAGTATAGTACATAAATATTATGGACCATCAAGTGACTAAGACAGAAAGCAAACCTAGAAATATGTAAGATATTGTGACATATTTGCTGGACGCAAAAGCACGTTGCAAAGCAATGGCACAATAAATGTCTCCACAATGGCACTGATGTCACATAACAATGAAGCAGTTCTGTGAAGTAGTGTTTTCTGTGGGTCTGTTGCAATACAGTAGCTGGAAGAAAGGGTGCTTTCTGTTAAGTCTCTCCCAAGGCTATACCACTAGGACCAACACGGCAAGTCAGTCAGTCTAGACTCTAACAAGAGTCTTGAGACAGTGGAGTTAGTCAAGTGGAAGTCAAGCTTGGAGGCAGGCAGTCCAAGACAGCCTGAGGCTGAGACAGTTGCCCCTGGCAGAGGCATGGTAGGTAGTGGAACCTCACTGTTGTAAACCACTGTGTAGTAAAGCCAAGTCAAGTTGCAAGATAGACACCAGCTTGCAAGCACATGAGCCTGGGAGCAGAGGAACATCCAAGGTTGGATGTAGCACAATGAACACTGTGTCTGGGAACACTAGTCTGTCAGTGATTTCTTAAGTGTAGTCACGAGAGTCAGGAGTCTTGAGACAGCAGTTAGGATATACAATGTGTATAATGGGGACAGTCTACACAACATTACTTCTGAAAAACAAAACAGACACTATTGTATCAACATTTGTTTTATTTTGCTGTTGATGCTACATGTTTCAACCCTTATATTGGGCCATCATCAGGTGTACAATGATACCAGTCCTAGTTCTTGAATTGCATCCAATTTTAATATGGATGCATATTGTTTTCTTGTGAGTTTTAAATGCATAAATTTAATTTTCAGTTAAAACTTAAATACTCAGGCAGTAAAATTAAGGATTGACATTTTTTTTATTTATTTATTAAGCCATCAGAATCTACAATTCTATAAGATAGTTTGCTGGCATGAGAGCTGTGATGCTCTTTAATGATGTGATGAGTCCCTTCCCCAGTGGGAGGTTCCTCTTGTCTTTTAGGTCAGCTGGCCAGTATCTTTGGAGTCTTCGATTGTGCTGTGGTTCAACGAGTGGCTGTAGTATGTCGTTTGGGTGATTTGCTAGTTTGTTGTGGTGTGTGGTAGTTTTTTCGCTGATGACATCTTTGATGTATGGTATATTTAGATCTGTACGTAACATTTGGTTGTTTACATACCAGGGTGCATTTGTTATAATTCAAAGTATTTTTGACTGGCTTCTCTGAATTATTGATATATGTGATTTGCTGGCACAACCCCAGAGCTCAATTCCGTAAGCCCAGATTGGTTTGATTATTGTCTTATAAAGCAGGACTTTGTTTTCTATGGATAAGTTGGATCTTCTTCCAATTAACCAGTTTAGCTCCTTGGTTTTTAAGTCTATCTGTTTGCGTTTTTTGATTACGTGGTCTTTCCAAGTGAGTCTACTATCCATATAGATTCCAAGATATTTAACGCTTGAAGACTGTGAGATATTGTTATTATTCAGTCCTACTTGTGGGCAATGCTCTCGCCTTAGCGTGAAGTTCACTTGGATAGTTTTAGTCTCATTTATTTTAATTTTCCATTTGTATAGCCATGCTTGTATTTGGTTTAAGTGGTTTTGTAGGATGCCGGTGGCCTTTGCTGGATCTGCATGGGTTGCTAGGATGACTGTATCATCTGCAAATGTTCCTGTAGTGGTGTTATCATCCATTGGTAGGTCCGCCATATAGAGAAGGTATAATAGTGGTCCTACTACACTGCCTTGCGGTACCCCAGATTTTACAGTAAAGTTAATTGATATTGCTTGATTGATTCTTACTCTGGATTCCCTGTCGTTGATGTAGGACTTCATCAATTTGAAATAAGTGATGGGAACATTCTGTTTAATTTTATATAAGAGTCCTCTGTGCCAGACTTTATCAAAGGCCTGCTTTATATCTAGGAATATGGAGGTACAGTATTCTTTACAATCGAGTGCTTGGTTTATGGTATAGGCTACTCTGTGCGTTTGCTGTACAGCTGAATGTTGTTCTCGAAAGCCAAACTGATGTCTTGGTAACCAATCTTCTAAGAATTAAAAATGAAGACTTAAAAATTAAAATTGTACAGAAATGAGATATTTTGTAATAAATCTATTTAAAACTATTTGACCGCTACATGTTGATATGTTTTGACCATTGGAAAAATACAACCTGGCATAAGGGACCTAAGGCTGAAACAGCAACTACAACTGGGAAGCAATGAAATTTTAATGAGCCCTTCAGGCAGGCTCTCATGCTGGAGATCCTGGTCTTCCATCAGGATTCCAAAAATGAGTGTTAAGAAGTTGTGGAGGAGTCGGCTACCACCTAAGCGAGAGAAGAGACTACCCACAGCTGAAGTGTCAGAGATGTAGGAGTGCCAGCTAATCTCAGAAGTTTTGTCTGCACCAACCAACCAGGTGATATTTTCTGTGCAGTACATGTTAAGGCTATTTAATGAGGACCAGGTGCCATTACAAGATAGTCCTGAGAAGGCAGTTAGAAGAGTAGAAGGTTGGTGTACGATGGCCGCCAGCCTCCAAGGATGCGAGTGTGAGTACGAAAGCAGAGTAGTGAAGACCGTGACTGAGAGTGAGACCATGTTAGAGTGATCTGTAAAGTATAGTCACAAGTTGTAAAAGTGTCCAATAAATCTGATTACTATTCCAAACTCTGTCTATAGTCACTCAATCATGTGACAGGATTTTTGATGTTAACGGGTTTCCAAACCTCCTGTACACTAGGTTTCCCTCACCACCTACTTAAAATATAGGCCTGCTTCATCAATCCTACCCAAGCTGCACTCATCACTGGGCCCAGCTGCATATGTACAGCTTCTATTGTCTTCAATGCCATGCAGCTTCCCACCACGTTGTATGTTAGTGATCACATAACTGCATTAAAATGAGAACTGAAAAGGTGTAACTAAAAAGTGGTATATATTCTTTACTCATGTTAAACTGAATCTGTGTGCATGTAAAGCAAGAAATCACTGTACACTTAACATGCACCACCAGTCAGACTTACTGTTCTTTCCTTCCTCACAAGCCAGATGGGATTTCGCAGTCTTGGGCAGTTCAGATGTTTTGATCCTCTTGTTGTTGGAAAAGGCAACAAATGCTAAAGAAAATAAAACATTACCAGAATAGTTCATTTTTACTCAAACACCAACCAAAGTAAAGTAAAGCAAAGCCCCACACTTAATTAATTAAGCACTATTCCATGAAGATGTATGGGGAGTGCAGGTTTTACTCCACCATCCTTCACCTCAGCACTATATGGAGGTCAGCGATCAACGCCCATTACTTTACCACCTGGTAATCATTGGGTAGGAGGTGGGCCCCAGGGCCAGCATGAATGATATGGAGAAGACAAAAATCTCTTGCCCCTGCAGGGAATGAGGCCCAGATTACTTGGTCATCCGGTCAGTAGACCAGTTGCTATACTGAGATATTCTGGTTCCACCAACCAAAGTACTACACTTTACAGTTGTGGGTCATTAAGTATCATACCTGGTCCACTAAGAACATACAGGGATTTATATTCATGCTTTGATGGTTTCCAGCTATGAAGAATAACTGTGATAAGTATGCTATGAGTGGGATTACGAATAATATGGAAGAAAGGAAACAACCTAATGCAAATCATGTACTTTAAGTTTGAAAACAGCTATAGTATACTGTTCTAAGTCAGTTCTTTTATAATATGTGCCATATGAATGAGACGTGATTATGAATCAAACTTTTATATCGGTATCCAAAACACGGGCAGGTGATAGTGAGGTACCTGCAAGTGGTTCTACACTTTATATTTAGTTCATATTAAACTGAAATATTGGGCGAATTACGTCTCCCTGGTCAATAATGACAAATTATTGTTGTTTTGTTATTGTTAATATGCCCTTGTTTTGGATACCGATATAAAAGTTCGATTCATAACCACATCTAATTCATATGGAACATATTATAAAAGAACTGACTAACGACAGTATACAGGATATATAATCATTCGTGATTTTCAATAATCATTGCCTTTAGGTCTTTCAATGAAAATCACGCACACAACGCAAGATTTCAGAGCATACGTCTACTGTTCGCTGGACACTTCTAATCTTAAAATTTTGAGGGGTGAAAACTGGAACGAAATGTATGCCTATCTATTGCACTTGGATACATTTTGTGTGCTCCTCATTCAAATTGTATATGGAACTATAGATTAAATTATCAGGCATTGAAAAGTGACTTGTAAATTTTATATTTACATTATACCTTTTATTACAAATTTATAATTAATACATACTTGTTTATATTATATATTATTTCTGTTATATTGGACTACTGTTTTTATCCTGGGTCCTAAGACCTTGTAATGGATTTGTGGCATGTAAATAAATGAAATGAAATGCTGTGTATGCAAGTTGGAGGTTAGTTTGGTTATCCCACCTCCTGCTGATTATAATTTCGACAAAGCACTAGAAGTCAATCAGTGATTTAAATGTTTATGTTTTAGAATCTGTATGGACACAGACTTTACCTTTCCCCTATTACATCTGGTGACATGCGAAAAGGCCGAAAATAACTTAAAACACTCCACAGGAACACGTCCATCTTACAACATTGCAAGCATTGCGACCACACTGCGACTGCCGATCGTGCGCGTGTTTTTTATGTTGACATCCCAACTAGTCCTAATTGTTTCAATGGAGGCGAAGTAGGCGTATATTCGCAAATTTTGATGTATCATAATATGTGCACAATATACTAACAAAATGAACATACCGATCAGTACGGTTGGATCACAAGTGTATGGTAAATATTTTTATTTATTTAAATTCATGCATATTTGACCAGAATGTAATAACCATCCGCATATAACTTTTAGTGTGCTTGCTTGGGGGCCCACCCCACGTTACGAGTGTTTGAAAGAGTATGACGTGAGATACATTGTGTTGCTCAAGACATTTGTCATCATAGGCATTTTCGTCAGTTAATCAGTATATAGATTTAATATTACAATTAAAATGTATTGTTGCAATTGCCTAAATTATGTCTGTATGTACTTCCAGGGTGTATATACTGCTTAACAAAGGAATAAAAACCGTGAAGGTGAACGAATGTCCGTATTTAACCCTACTTATATTGAAAATTGATCTCCAATGTAGATTTAAATTTGCAATGAAGACAGTTAAGACATGACAATTTTCAGCTGTACATTTTGTTTTGTTCCTAATATATATACAAATTATGATCATTATGTATATAGCGTGGTCGCCTGAGAGCTAGCCGTAAATTTTTCGCTCCTCGGGGTCTCGCTTCTCTTGTTATATTGCATTGGGAGCGTTGGACTCGTGGCGTACCCGACAGGCCAACAGCATGTACACAGTGCATTTTCTCTGCAGTATTCCCCCAGTAAATTTTTGGACAGCTGCTGGGCAGTAAAACTGTGCATTTATATGCCTGCCAGTTATTGTACCAAGCTCCTGTCACTGTGTTAAACATTCAGTCATTTTTGTTATTTCTTGTATCGAAATACCATGTGAGTGTATACACTGATGTACATTCATGTATGGTGCCTGTGTGAAAAAGAAAACTATCAATGCAACCAAAAATAAATTTAGACAAATGGGGTCATCACCAAACTAATAAGGACCAAATCATATCACTGAATGACCTCTGAAGAAAAGTTGTGCTGGACTTGGGCATTTGCTTTGAAAGTCCCTTAGATGCTTTGCGTAGGAGAAGGGGTTTAAAATTTTAAGTTCGCTTTGTTTCTAAACAGGAACTTAAATCTGTGAATGTGAACACATTATGGAGGTGCAATGCATCATGCATAACAAAGGGATGATTTCTGGCATCTGTTGTTATCTGGGTGGGTTTTGTTTATGTTTTGGTGACCTATGGGTTTATTGATTCCAGTACAGGTCCAATCATGCACAGAAAGATTTGCTGCAAAGGTTGTGTCTCTTCAGTCAGACTGATTGAGCAATTTGCTTGAGGCTATCAGACAACTTCCCTGTTGATAGATACATGAATCACTTAGGTCCTAGAGAGCAAAGTGTTTGACAGGTCAAAGAACAATATATCACATCTGGAAAAACAGATATGAAACATTCACCATACACCTGTATATATGTGCACACTTGTGTGGATGTGTATTAAAATATATGTTACATATTTTAACACATTCTTTCTCAGTACTCTTTAAGAAGGATTTTTGCTACATTTATGTTGTATATAAAGATGCATTTTTTCGGAGTTATAAAAGAATCAACATGGGAAACGAGCCAGAAACACCCAAGATTGAGTATACAGAAGTTATTCTGGAAAACTGAGGGGTAGAGTTTGGGTTACATCTGTACATGGACTGTGCTGAAAATTCTGACGTTGAATGGGGACATGGATGGAAAAGAGGTTGAAGAGATAAAATTTTATGAATTCAGCTCACATGAACTATATCTTACCCAATCCTAATATTGTATTATGCTCTTAACCATTTACAGCCACAAAATCTGTTAGTAACCTCAGTGTGGACAACATCTCAATACAGCATGCAAACAGAGGTAAGTATCATAAAAAACAAAACTAAAGAATGAGTTATCCAAAAAGGCTTTAAATGCAACTTTTACATTTGTTTACATATGCACAATTCAAGATTACAAGCATAACCTAGAAGACAGAATATCATCAGGATTTTAATTTCTGTACCCTTATCAGTACAAATTTGGGGAGTGCATAGTATGAAAGTTCTAATTATATTGTTATTGTGAAATAGGCATAATTTAGTTGATAAGTTGTAATCTTAATATAATAGACAGTTTTGCTTGTAGAACTGTTAGAAATATGTTAAAAGACTATAGCTAAGATATTTGAAGCAGGAAATGGAAGAAACTAATGATATCTTAGTTCAAAGCTGTTTAACGGTTATGTAACAGAACTAATTATTTCGACTTCTCCCAACATCCCAGTTCTTTTGTATGAACCATTGTTTCGGAAATGCGTTTTATTTCCATTTTCATATGGAGGGGATATGAAGAAATTCATACTCTTTTGGGCCACTAGGTAGAAGATACGAAAGTAGCTTTACCTATGTGCATGTGTTTATATAACATTTTTATTACCTTCCTGACTTGAACTTTTGCTTTTCAATTTTTGTTCAACATTTTTTTTTTTTTTAAAGAATGTCTTTCAAGGAATTAAGCCTGGTTTTAGTATACTGAAAGTGGTATTACATCAGCTGGGGAAGTAATTCAAAAATGTTTTCAGGACTGTACAGGAACATGTTATACATTACTGTACAGGTAGAGAGTTTTTTAACATAATTTAATAAAATATTTGTAACATATCAAGACACCTGAAAATGGCCGTAGTGTGAAAGTGTATAATATTAAACTAAAATTAAAATTAAGTAGTTAATAAACAAGTGTTGCAGTATTGACGACGATAAATACATGGACGTTAAGTTAAACAAATGCAACAGGATGCTGAAATACAGAATTATAATGCTAAGAGGTCACTGATGTGATATCATCCTGATATCGGAATGGTGGGCATCTGTCGGATGTTATTTTTGGGAAATAGACTTCTGTTTTCAGTGTGTTAATTGAGAAAAACCAAATGCTTTTATGCTTACACTGTATTCATATGTGTTAAAACCAAATAAATTCAATAGTTTAGTGTTCATAACATTTTCAAAATTGCCCGATTCATTGACGTGATGGAACATCTGTTATAATATTTATATTATCCCAGAGTGTGACGTGATTACTATTTACTGACATTAGTAACATACCATAAAATTATTTTTTGTCTCTGCAAGTGTTAATTTTTGATGTTCTTATTTGTGATAGGTTCTTTTATTAAATAACCTTGTTGTGAAGTTTTGGAATGTGTTTGTGCAGTTATAAACCATCTCTTAATCTGTTTTAGTGTTGACACTGTTGAATTATTTGGTTATGTTGATTGTCTTCCTTGTCTTTTGCACATAGCACTCCTCCAGTGACTGATATTGCCTTAAGGTTTTGACTTTTTTGTTTATTTTGAGCTATGTCACAGTTCTAATGGACTATTCCTGAAGCTTTTTTTCTGTGTTCTGTTCTGTGGTATGAGCTTTGTATGCATATAAAAAAAATGGTAAAGGTATCCCTGTAATGGGCCATCGAGGCCCATAGGGTTGTGAGACTTCAAGCCTCCCACATTTTCTAGACAATGCATAACAAGTATAATTTGTTAATTTATCATATGCCTCATTTTAGTGCTTATTGAATATTGTTTTCATCTAAATTATTTTTCAAGGTTGTGGCATACTCATTCAAATACATTCCATGCACTTCTTTTTGCATGTCTCAGCCTTCCATATAAGAATGTTCTCATGATGTATGCCAGGCATGTCCAACTTCAAACAGGTTGTGATCGACTTTTTAGTGTCAATGCGGCCAGTAATCTATCACCCACTCCTATCGTCATACCTCGTTTTAAGCAAAAATATTAGTAAAAATAACACGACACATGATGTTTGTTGTAAAAGCAACATACATTGAACGTACAGACTATTTTAATACGTATTTTGCCTTAAAAATCTGAATATAATCATATTACAAATATTATATACAAATTATATTACAAATGAATTTACATGCTTTTCACGAATAATTTTTATAGGCCTATGAGATCGACCAAAAATCGTCCGGCGATTGACACGTTGGACATGCCTGATGTATGCTATCAGTACTGTACTGTTATATGCAATGCTTGAGGTGGAATGAAAATAGAACCAGGATGGTTTTCCCCTTTTTAATTCATAGACATAAATTATGAAAATATACCGAGTGATGTATATAGTCTGTGTTCCATCTAAGACCTACGAACATATTACAGTAACCTGTACAACCATGAAACAGATAACGTCAACAACAAAAAAAGGTATTGTACATTGCATTGACTGCCAAAGAAGTAACGGGATGCTTTTAAGCCATTTAGAAAAGAACTGGGATGCTATCCCGCCCCACCTTAAGCCCTGGTTATACGATATGGAGTACAGCATACTGCCAGCATCTAAAGCTGTCTTTCACATATAGGTCATACAAATGTGTATTTTAATGCTCGCTTTTGTTGATTATTATTAGGGATAGAAAGTAATCTTTTTTCTTACTTTCTTGACAGTGCAATTTCCTTCTGCTGCATCATCACAGTTTCAGAGTATACTGTCCACAAACCAAGAAGATGTCCATATATGTGGAGGCTGTAAGCAGAATTTCTCTGACATTAACTTCTTTGTGGAGCACAAGCACTCAGGATGCATTCAAAATACTCAGAAATCTCCAAGTGCTGCATCCACCTTAGTGGGACAGTCCACCATTGATTACCTAAGCACCACGTCTTCTCGAAGTGGTGAAGATTCAACTTCTCCATCTCTAGGAGCACCAATTTTTCGAGTCATTGTTGATGGTTCAAATTTATCATTGCAACCAGGAGCTGGAAATTCAAGACATACATCGTCATGCAGAGGAAATGGTGATTCTCAGATACTCCGATCTCGATTGCTTGGGATACAGAATGACCAGCAAATAGCTGTACAGGAACAAAATATTACCACCAATGCAGGAGGAATGCAGGCTATTGTTATGCAGCAACAATCTCGACGGGAATTTCAGATTGATGAAGAGGCAGTGGCTACAATTCTTGCTAACCAGCTTGCCAGTGAGGATGGCACATCAGCCCATGCAAATATGCCCTACTCAAGAACAGGTCTGATGTTAATTATGTTTTTCGTAATGCATGAACTTCACCTTATCCTAACAGTCAGCTGTATCCATTCTAAGAAAACTAAATCCAGCCGTGTTCTCATTTTCTTCCTGTATATCATTTTCATTTTATGTTCATATTTAAATGTACAAGTATTTGTCTTTTCTGCAAGTTTATCTCTTTAACATCATTGTACATTACATTACATCCTTGGCTGTTCTTTTCCATCACATAATACCTGTAACCTAATACACCTCATGTGCAAGTAAATATTAATTTTTGTTTACAATATTTAATAAGTTCCACAGCTATACTGTTTTATAAGTCTGTATAAATTTCATAAACATATCAAAGCCCAACCAAATGGTACTAGATGTGCAGTATGCAAACATATCAGTGGTACATTAATTGTAATATTTTATTAACCCTCTGTGGTTTAGTAATATTGTGCATTTCTCTTTTGCTACACAGTCTTCTGCTTAACATGACAGAGGCTTAAAAAGTACACAAAAGAAAGCCAAAAAATATTAGTTCTTGAAGTGATGAAAGGAGTATCATAGCATAAATAGACTGTTTTGAGACATGAGGAGTTCTCGCCTGTGGCCTGTAGTGCTGTGTATGCTGGTGAAAGTCAGCTGACATTTCAGAGGAACACATTGCCCCCATCTTCAGGGTTGAAGTATGTATCAGATGAGAAACATACATGGGCAAACAAACAGAGCACTATTTGTAGAAAAATACAGGATTATGTAGGCTTGGAAGGAACTTGCAAGCCACCCAGTTAACTGTTATTGGACCTCTCTGAGGAAGGGAGTGAACCAATAGGAAACAAAAGAATTATGACCAACCTGAGCCCTGAAAAGGGCTGCATAGACCACTTCCAGACGTGGGAACCTGAGGGAGAAGTGTGTGTGGTGGGAAAAGGAACAAGGAAGGTGGGGGAAGTTGTGTATGTATAGGCATGCAGTAAGGGATAAGAATAACAAGAACTATGAATGGGAGGTCATTGAAGGAAAGAAGAGCTTAGGGTTGAAGGGTCCCCAGAGAGTGTGCCTAGGCTTGTGTGGTCCATTTTGGGATCCCAGCTATAGAATCCTGTGAGGAAGGCTTGCTGTGATCTTTCAGAGAGCATATGAGAGATTTCTATGACTTGCTTAGGCAGCGGTCATCTTCCCTGATCATATTATTGTGATGGAGCAGAATCTCAATCCCCTCCCTGATGATACAATCCATATATCTGGATTTGATTTTGGGATGCTGATGTTGCGGAGCTCGCTAAGGTACCCAAAGTTGATGGTGTGCCCTGCCAAGGCTGACTTGTTTTGATGTTCTGGCCAGGTAGTTCAGTGGTGCTTCTGAGTCAATCAAATGGCCTGTCTGTCCAATATAAACTTTTCATACTCACATGGGATATTGTATACTTATCCCCTGCTGCATGCTCACAGCTTCTCACCCACACTCCTCAGTTCTCTGCCCTCTGCACTTACAACTTCTCCTTCATGTTGTCATGTCTGCAAATGGTATAAGTGGCCCTCATCAGAGCCCAGGTTAGCTACTCTTGTTACTCTCATGTTGGTTCACTCTATATTTCAGAGGCAGGAAAGGATTATAATTTTTATTATTATTTAATTACATTCCATTAATCCATACAAGGTCAAAGACCTATAGGATATAGAAACTGTCATTATAAATATAAAACAATAAGTATAACAGTAAATCTAATAAAAAGAATGTAATAAATCTTACAGTAGCTGTCTGAAACAATTTTACATAGAATTAATACAAATATGGTAATAAAAGTAAATCACAACTATTAACTAAATAATGTATAGGTATTCATTGGGAAGTTGTTTTGTAAAATTCATCATTGCTATAAAATGTATGTTCAGTGAGATAGCTTCTCAATAAAGATTTGAATTGCTTAATGTCTTTAGATAACAATTTAATATTCAAAGGTAAGTGATTATAAATCTTGCTTCCAGAGAACAGCACTCCTTTTTTTACTATTGATA